TAACGAGCACCCAGCGTGTTCCAGGACAATATTTTTTTTCTTTTTAGTGGTAACACAAAGGGCATTGGGAGCGCTGCCACCTTACTGAACTTAACCTAAGACACCTCGCATGAATATTCAAAGTGCAAAGATTCGTTTATTTTGAGAATTCATTTCTTCCGGTATACACACCCAAACCTTGCTTATAGCGTGACTAGAGCTATCTTCAATCGGCCCATATGAGACATTAGTTTCAAATAAATAGAAATATTTTATTTATTCCCGAAAGTCATACAAAAAAAGCTCTTTTGCAAACTTTCAAGGCAAAAAGCTCTTTTGACCTAAAGCCCAAAAACTGGCATGCCATTCGAGAGATCCGGAGTTCGAATACTCGAGCAGCGGAATTTTTTTCTTTTTCCTTTGATTACACTTTTTTAATTTTAAGATTTTATGGTCTTAAAAAGATCAATAATATTTTATTTTAATTTCATTTAATTCTGGAAACTTATTTTATGTATTTCTTTCTTTTCTTAATTACATTTTTTCTTTTTCAATTAAATTTTCTTCAGTTTTTAGATATTATTGCTTTAAAAGGACACATTTTTTTCATTAAATTTTCAGAAAGTGTGTGCATTTTTCTCTCTTTAATTTTATTTTTTATTTCTTAATATTTTTTTTTTAATTTTTAGGTTTTATTGTTTTAATGTTTTTTAATTTCATTTAGATTTTGAAAATTTATTTTCTGTTTTTTAATTTATAGATGTTATTGTTCATGAAAATATTATTATTTTAAGCTTCATTTAATTTTTAGGGAGTATTTTTTTATTTTTTTTTTCATTTAATTTTTAGGCACTAATTTATTTTCTTCCATATTTTTTTTAATCTAATTCTCATTTAATGACTATATTTTATTGTTTTAAAAAGATTTTTTTTAACTACATTTAGCTTTTAGAAAGTTTTTTTATTTCTTTTTTGTCTTAATGCTTTTTTTTCTTTTTACGATTTTAGTTTTACAAAGAAATTAATTAATTTTTAGAAAGCTTATTTGCTAAAATAAAAAGAGAATAATGCTAAACCCTCTTCTACTTACGAAAGCCTTTTGGTGATTTGAAAGACGGTTTGCCGGAATTGCCCTTTATGTGTGCCTATAGAATAGTCCAGAAAATCCTTTGCCCAAAAATAACCCGCAAGGTTGGGTTGATAGTTTTTTTTTTTAATTTCCATGGTACGATCCGCTCCCGATTCCTTCAGCTATGTGAAACAATAAATAGGGAATCTTAATGAAACCTACTGAAGTGAAGAAATGTCATCCCAAGAGACCGGGCTATACCCAAGCTCTGTATTTAACTGACCAGACCACGTCTGACTTTTTCCTGTTCCAACGTTTCGAGGTAGCGATCTTTGTATAGACGTTTTTAATGATTTAACCAATAAAGAAAGGAAAATTCACAGAAGGAGCTGAAGACGATTTCCATATTAATCTAAGGGAAGTTTTTTGAAGAAGAAGCAATTGAAATTTGAAATTTGGGATCAATATACTTTAAGGTAAGTACATAAAACCATAGCAGTGTCATTCCAGCGAAGACGTTTAAATCTGTGAAAACAGCCCCACCATGAAAAACATGGGAAATAGGCAACAATCGTAAATCGAAACAAATTCGCGACTCGCCGATTTATTACCGGGGTTACAAATAGGAAGGTCCCAACCATAACTTTGGAATGCCCCACCAGTAATAATTAAACCAATTTTGTTTTGTAATTATTTTTAGGACAAATATAAATCTCGTATGCAAATGAAAGTCCAATAAGTCGTTCATTAAAGCCTATGTCACTAGCTGCCTAAAGTCCCCCACCAAACTGGTTATTTTAATATTCAAATTTTCCATAAAAATAAGTAAACAAATTTTTTCCAGTTCAAAAATTGTACCGCTGATTATGACACAAATTAAAGCCATTAAAAATAAACAAAGCAAACAGAGACAAAAACATGCAAAATAAGTGGACAACAAAAAAAAAGTTAACAAAACAAAAACATACAGAGCACATGATAAACTGGCTTAGAGCAGACTGAAATGTTTGGATCACTACTACTCTGAATAGTTATTTGGTGGATGCATAGCATGGCTTGGAGATGGCTGGTTTCTACGCGCAGGCGTACAAGCGACGGCAGGCGAAAGAAACAAGCCAATCAAGAAACAAGTGGACCCAGTTCAAGTAGTCAAACCGCCAGCGAATGCTTATCACAGCGACCGGCTTACGGTGCCATCGCAATGCAACGGTGCTGAAAGCAGAACAGCACAGCAATTATTGACGACGAGATGGCGCGCAACTTGGACGTACAGGTGGCAGGTGGCGGTGGGCAGAAGGCAGCAGGCAGTGGGTTGATAAGAAACCAGTAATCGCCGGCAAGGCACTGAGCACTGCTGTGTGTTGCTGCATCGCAGCGAAGGGGGATGTGATGGTAGGTGAAACGAGCATGTAGCGTGCGCGGAGCAGGCATGCCAAAGTTGTTGCCGCCTGATTACAGCGGCTGTTGTTATTGCTGGCTGGATGGCTGGCTGGTATTTTGGGATGGCTGTTCGGAAGATGTTCTGTTTTGTTTTGCTTTACTTTATTTTGCTTTCGGATTTGTTGTTATGTGAATGACATTCGCTGCCATTAATCTCTGGCACTGACTTGTTACTCCACATTACAATGTTGTTGCGGTGTTGCATGTCTATGTAAATGCGCTTGGCAAGGACAACAATCACAAGTAAAGTGCGATGAAGTGTAATAATGAGCGATGGATAGAGTCTTGCATGATTGTTGATGACCGTCTTGGCGCCAAGGGGATTAAGGGAATAGCAACCATTGCTATCATTTAAGTCGGCAAAGGATACAAAGCTTCTGTCTCACAAAATTTCGGTTAAGGTTTGAAAAACTTTATGAAAAAACTAGGCATACTCGTTCCCAGTATTTTAATCATATGACCCGCTGAGAGTATTTCCTATTTGGGAACCTTATTTATGTGGAGTCCTAACACCTTGTGCAAAGCAATAAATATATGATCGACGTCGGCAAAGCAAAATTTGATCCAATGACGCCGTATTCGTATGAAAGTAACATTTGTTGGATATCAGTATTTATTTATGTACCGATATATATCAATATTTATCGATAAATTTATTGATAATTATTTTCCTAAGCATATCAATAACAATATCAATAGTATATTTAAAAATAAATCAAAAAAAGATATCGAACTTTAGTAACCTAATGCTAAGGTCACCGATATATAATATCTTATACGACTGCACGTTCGGTAAGACATGGGATCTACCTTTCCATCTGGCGTATTGATTTCAAATACTAAATGAGCAGTCACTAGGCACATTATGCTCTAATTAAGCTGAATTGATCAGCAGTAAACAGACGTACAAGCGATGACAGGTTTGCGCATACCAAAGTCACCACGACACCCTCCCACAGTGGGACTAAAGAATATACCAAATCTCATCAGATCAGGCTAAATACTCTTCAGGTCATCATTTAAAATGAGTAACTGGTGATAGGGAAGAAACCTTTGGCAGAGAAAACTTCCATTCAATGGCCATAACTATAATTTCTTTGCAGACGGATTTAAAATTAATGAAGGAATTAGGAATGCTGTGTTCTGTCCAGAACTAGTAGTAGTAGCTTTAGTAAGCATATATGCTCCCGAGGTCTATGGTACAATCATAAGTCATAGATCAATGGACGATTTTGATGATAAAAAAATATCGATTAGTCGATAAAGTGACTCAAACAATTGTTCACTTTTATAGGTTTTCTAAATATTCACAATTTTGTTCAATCAAATTTATTTTTTGTCACTTTTAGTCTGAATTTTAAGAGCGCAGTTTTGTACACCATGCAATTTAAGTATAATAAATGTATGTTTGAAGCAGCTACGGATTCGTCTTGATTTTTAATATTTTTTTTATGCCGCCCGTCTTTCGCAGGTTTTTTCATATAAAATTGTAATTTGTAAAAATTTAAAACCAACCCGATTTTTTAGCCGCTTGCATTTTATTATACTAAAATTGTATGGGCTATAAAACTGCATACCCTATAAAGTTTGAAGCTTTTATTTACTATACGGTTTTTATTAATGCATGCAAAATACTTTTGTAGCAAAATAAATAAAAACGCTGATGAAAAAGTTCGAAATTTTGAAGAAAATTTGTTGAATCTTTTTCAATTTTGTATAAAGTGTAAAGCTTTTAATTACTATAGAGAAAAAAATTTAAAAAATATTGAAAAACATTGTGAATATTAAAAAAAAAATCAATATTGGAACACTTGTTTGAATCACTGTACGTTTGAATCACTGTACCATAAAATACTTATCGACTAATATGCCTTATCGATAAATGTATCGATTTCGAAAATTTTATCATTTAATTTCCGATAAATATGTCACAAAAAAAAAATTATCTAAAATATTTCGTTAAAATATTAATAATAAAAACGATAATGATACCGATAAATATGTACCGATTATTCATATTTTTTGATAAATTTATCGGAAATCATACTCAGATCGCAATTTGTAGCAATTCGAATTCCGTGTTCGTCCTTACGTAGATTTCACAAAAATCTAAACCCGATTGATTCAATGATAGTCCCGTATGCATAATTTGTATTCATGATTCAATCTGTAAACTTCGCGTAAATGTTACATTTTCTTTCTTCTTCACGTTAATTTTAACTTGGTTCAGCTGATTTGTGTACGGCATAGGTACCAGAAATAGGCCCTAAGCGCCACATTTCCAAAGCTAAAAGCCTTTACCCAGCCACCCAAAGACCAGGTGTGGCCAAAGTTCGCTCTTTTCATTAATGATATTCATGCTTTAAGCTCTTCTTCCAACATTCCTTAATTAATATTATACAAATTTTTGTAATATAATTTTATCATCATTATTATTTTTTTAATTATACGCGTACTCTTACCCCGTTAAATTTCATGCCAATAAGAAATCAAAATAAAATCGCTTACTTACATAATACGCCTTTACCTGCAATCGACTTGTTACAGACAGCTGTGGCTGGACACATAAATGTGGTTGACATCGAAGTCGTTTTTTTTTTGCCGTTTCAGTTACAGTTCCTGTTACTCTTGTTGTTGATGTTGCTATCGTTGGTCAGCAGTTGTGGAAACGGTTGCCAATAAATACATTTCGTCGCGTCGATCTCAGGCTGTACATATATTGGCTATTTCGTCGATATCGATTACTCGATTGCTCTGGATGCTCTTTGTTTTTGTTATTGTTGCTGTCGCGATCGCTTGTCTAGCTTTAGGTTTATAAGTTGATATTTCTGGAGTGTACTGATTCATGACAAAATCATAAGGAAATATTAATATTTTTTATGCACTTTTGCTTTCAATGCGATTTTACAGCACTTGCATATGTAAGTAAGTATGTATGTGTGAATCTATATATATAGAGGCATACGTGCGTGAGTTGTATTTTAACATTTACGAATAAATTAAATTTCTATTTAGTAGTATTGGCACTTAAATTCACTGATGTGATTTGATTTAATTTAAAATCTCATCCGGCTGATTATTTTTTTTTAACAATTTTCTTTCGGTGTAGTACTTTGACACTTTGAAGCGCGATTGTTTGCATATACTTTGCTCACTTTTAGTATTGTGCGCCTATTGGTAAGCTCTCAATACGTTCAACTTTTCGACTTTTTGATGCAAGCAGTTGGTTTACTTTCAAATTTGTTGACAACATTTTATTTACATTTTTTTCCAAGTTGGTCTAGTTTTATTGTCGAAACTTTTGCATCGACAGTGCACTGCTATAAATTTAAGTTATTACAAAAAATTTATCTGTGCATTAAAATCCTGTGTATTTGTGTGAGTGTACCAAACCTGTGCACATATTAGCAGGAGCGCTGCGCAGTTAAGGCTGTTTTCCGTTCGTTCAAAGCCAAGTCATAAAATCATTAGAATTTAAGAAATTTGAGTAATTGCCATTGCTTTATAGCTTTTCCTCTAAACCTCTAAATACCTAAAATTTAAGTCACTTTTGCAACCACATAAGTCGCTTACACCTGAAATCCCTCGCCGCGGTAGTTTTCATAGACTTTGAATGGCTTGGCGGAGACACATGCGCGCATGCGCACAAGCCTTCCAACAAGCGGCCAACAAAGCTTGCATTCACGCGCCATATTTGTTGCACAACGCAACGACAACTAACTACAGCCACCAGAAAGTGTTTCAAAACCAACAACAATAACAAGCAAATCCAATGACTACATTGACGCTTTAAATCTTTTGTCTTTTTTTTTTTGTTTTGATTGTTAACACAATTTTCGTGGTAGTTGTTTGTGTTTGTTACTGTTGCTGTTGCCGTTGCCGTGTGGTGAGTGTTGGCCGTTGCGTTGCTTTTTCTTGGGTCTTTCGGTGCAAGTATTTCATTTAATTTTCCTTATATATTTTTACCATTAATTTCCTTATTATTTTTATTTGATTACGCTTCGTGTGCATTTGCTTTTAATGCTTATTTCGCTAAAATATTTTTTATTTCCCACTTTTGGGCATGCATTTCAAGTACTTTTAGCATTGTATGCCCCCCTTTATTTGTGTTATGGTGAAGTTATTCATTTTTGAAGTGGGGGAGATGTGAGTAACGATGTAAGAGTTCAGCGGTGACTTGAACTTTTTCCAAGCCTTAAAAAACATCAAAATCACAAATCAAACATAAAATAAACATTCATCATTTGTATAATCAAATGGTTGAACCGGCGTTAGCCATGACTTGTTGAGGGCAGTGACGCTTGTGACGATGACAATGAACGGCTTAATGATATTGAGAAACACACATTGCCGGGGAGATGAGAATGAGTGATAAGTGATACTTGGGGAGCGTTGAAGTTAAACGTTCAAGAAGGAGACCTTCTGCAAGTAATCGTAGCCGAATTTCATTAGAAGTGCAACAATATAAATAAGGCAGAGACGTGCGATTCAAAGAACCAAACTTACATACATATGCACCCGAAAAAAAAAAATCTTTTATGGGTTGTTTCATATTTTGCTTGACTTAGAAAAAGGAAATTCGGCAGAGTAAAATTACGATCTGTCTTTGTCAAATATGAATATAAATACAAATGCAATTACGAGCACAAATATGAATCATAATATGAATAAATACGAGTAAAAGTACGAATACAAGTGACAATACGTGTCGTAGTACTAATAGGAAAATGAACACAAATACGAAACCGAATACGAAGATGAACATGAATATAAGTATGAATATGCATATGAATATGAATATGAATACGAATATGAATACGAATATGAATATGAATTTTAGTACAATTTCGAATACGAATATGAATATAAGTATGAATATGAGTATGAGTATGAATATGAGTATGAATATGAATATGAGTATGAATATTAATATGAGTATGGATATTAATATGAGTATGAATATTAATATGAGTATGAATATTAATATGAATATGAATACGAATATGAATATGAGTATGAGTATAAATATGAATATGAATACGAATAAGAATATGAATATGAATACGAATACGAATATGAATATGAATATGAATATGAATATGAATATGAATATGAATATGAATATGAATATGATTATGAGTATGAGTATAAATATGAATATGAATACGAATATGAATATGAATTTTAGTACAATTTCAAATACGAGCATTAATATGAATACGAATACGAACAAACAATTACGAGTATAAGTATAAGCACGAAGCAAAATACGAATGTGATTGCGATTACGATTACGATTGCGAGTAAAAATACGAATACTAGTATGAACAAAAATGCGAGTACGAATACGAATACTAATACGAATACGAATATGGATACAGCTGCGAATACGAAAAAAAATGTCGAATATGAGTGCAAGTACTAATATATATGTACATATATGAATACGAGTACAAATACGAATACGAATAGGTTTATGAACAAGAATAAAATAAAAAATTGTTTAAATTTTTTGGTAATCAACTTTTTTTAATATCATAAGATATAACAGATCTGTTTCAAAAAATTATAGGACGAATCTCTGAAAAGGGTATTCTGGGATTAGGCGCGATCGGGTGAAATTGGGCATTAATTAGTTGCAACTAGTCTCATACGCGTATTATTGGAGAAAAAATTCGTCTCGATGCATTTCTTACGGGTATAATTGGAGATCAATTAGTGCGGCAGGTTCATCTCTAACAGATACAATTAATATGTGTATGGGTGAACGTGGACAGTCACTATGACAGAGACGTATAGAATATACCCACAGTTATCTGCCAACGATTAAAATACTTAAATTTTATAATTTTCAATTGTGTTGACTCTTCGTAGAACGTCATTAAATTAGTAATTTATAATTATGCTGCAAGAATCTGCTCTGCATTTATATTTTGTGGTCTGCAAACAGTTGTGCGCGGAATTGTACAAACTTACTTATATTCCCATCATTGTTTATAATTTTTCGTCATTCGTTTTTTTTTTTTTGCATAATCATTTTTTCGCCGTTTCTTTTAGCCCTGCTGATTTGTATTATTATTCCATTCTTTCACAGTAAAAACCGGTTGCTAGTAAACCACATAGATGTCTTAGCTCCATGGCGTCAATGTGGTTGTTGCTTTATTGCAAGTTTATTAACTTTGTCGGTGTTTTGTTTCTTGCCAGCTGTTTTTGTTGTTCGGAATTGTTGTGCTAATTTTATGAAATTACCAAATTTTTCATTAATGTTTATTTACTTATTTTTTTTTTTACTTTTTTAATAAAAGTGTTATAATATTTTAATTTCTGGAAATGGTGTCATCGCAACTCGTGACTAATAATAAATTTTGATTATTTATTTGAAGAAATAATATTTATTTGACAAACGGAAATTGAAGGCACACAAAAGCATTACCTAATTCATAGAAAATTAATAATTTCGGATATACTAAGTAGTAATTTGTGAATTTGGCTGAATTTTAAATAAGAGTATCATGTAGGGGGTGATCTATCCGGATTTTGCGTATTTAACATATCCGAATAATGCATATTTAACATACTGCAAATTTAACTTATTTTTAGTTTCGAATACCAAAAATTCATAGTTTTTTAAAATGTGGTCTTTAAAACTTTAAACAAAAAAACGATAACTCTTGAAATTAATTTTGAAGGCGATAAGGTTTATGATTTGTTGGGTTATTCGATATCTTTCGATCTTGTTTTCGTGTTGAGTGTTAACCACAGGTGGGCGTTGACGCCTGCTCCCTGCAGTTCTCGCCAACTCGTCAGCGATTCAGTTCTACGCACTGAGGCGTTGTACCTATATGAACACAAATCTAAGTAGAAAATATTTCGATGCAATTGAAAAGCAGTTCAGGCACTCCCATATCAGTTTTGATTGAACCATCAGTGAGTTTAGGAGCCTAATTGTCGCTTGGCTTTCAGCACAGCTGCTGGCATCTCTTATACACGTCACACTCCTGAGCAGTGTGCCTACTGCTTTTTTGGGGTATGTTCAAACAGGCCATTTAGCGAAGGCAATTAAGCTTTAAATTACGGCATGGAGTTTGGTGTTCACACACACGTCAACTGCGTAATTAGCGATACGAAATCAGTTGCTGGATTACCTACAGTGATGGGAAAGTTGGTACAATCGTACCTTTATTTAGTTTGAAAGCACATTCGATACAAACACACAATTTTTGGAAATCAGTTCTTATTTTTATTGAAATTTCGAGCAACTGGTCTAATAGCTTCCCTCCTTTGTGCAGGGGCATACAAATGATAAAGAAGGGTGGTCAAAGTAACGCATTTGTAGTTGGTTTCGCCAGATAGGAGGAAAATATTTATTTTTAAAATGTCAGTTTTTTTTATGTGAGTGCATTTTCTTTATATAGAAATTCATATTGACTTTTTATGTACATCTATCTACTTTTAGATAAAACCTGCCGTAAATTAGGTACAATTCTATAATTCAATTTTCCATCCCTGATGGAATATCAGATGTAAAAAATCGGAAGCAAACAGGTGATGGTTCTTTGTTCAACAAACATACCTCAAAGTTAAAATTAAACATACCTAGTAGGGTTGCATAGAGAATCTAACACAAGTAATTAATAATTTGAATTTTTGTATAATACATTTTTTTTTCAGATTTTTTATCATTTCAATGCTTAGTGTAACTTGGGCATTACGTTCAGCAAGGCGTTAAACACCTTAGTGGGAGTGTTAAAGCTTAAACAGACGGCAGCGTTGATCCGGATGAACTCGGACTTAATCCGGTTCAACTGCAGTTAATTCCCGCGTTGATCCGGATGAACGCTGCCGTCTGTTTATGCTTTTAAACCGTTAAACAGTGCATCACTAACTCCAATGGAGGCAAAAAAACAGGTTTCTGTTGTTTTGAATTTTTTGCTTTTTATTGCTAAATTGATAATCCGCCAGGCATTGAATTTCAAAATTTTTAATGACAGTTTTGGGCATTAAAGAATACCCGCGCTATTATGTTTATAAAAATAGTCATTCAGGCATGTTCTGTAAGTCGCGCAATTTGAAATCGGCACGATTTTGTAAATAATTATGGTTATTATTATAGTTAAAAAAAATACTGAATATTTTATATGAAAACTATGAAGGAAACATCAGCATTGTTATATCAGCCATTTCAATAAAAAAATTCGGAATTTTCTGATTAAAAATCAGAACATCACTGTTTCCACATTGCAATTTTTAAATGGCATACTTTTTTTTGTTATTTTAATGCCTAATGGAAATTCGGCATTAGGGTTTACATATAATTATTAAGGTGCTCCTTAATATATCAACATCATGGGGCACCTAAGGGATGTTCTACGTACAAAACCGAGATCTGCAAGAAAATTTTAAAATTAAAAAAAAAATGGCGTCATTACTAAGGTTTGAATAAATTTTATTTTTTTGTCGCAAAAGTTCGACGAAAATATTACTTTGTCCAGCTAGTATAACTCAGCGGTCAATAAGTTAAAAAAATTGCAGATTACAAGTAAAAGTTTTGACGATTTTTTTTTTTTTTTAATCGGAAGTTTGCGTGTATGAGTTTATTTTGTACATAAAATCAAACAAAAGTGACCCATGAAAAAAAAAATTAGATGTTGATATTTTAAGGAACACCCTAATAATTATATTATATTTTTAATTATTATTTAAAAATTTTTTTAGCATCACTGTGTTTGCTTTTCGTTGTTGAAAACCCAAAAGACTTCAATGACTTAAACACAAACTTAACGGTATAATAGCTGGGCCAAAAACACTTAATAAAAATTTACGCTTACGACAAATGAAATTTACCATTTAAATGACAATACATTAAAGAAAAAAGTAATGAATGAGAAAATTTCACACGAGCGTAATCAAAAGCTTAGGAATGTGGGAACCAAGTGAGGGAATTTTTTCATATTTTTTCTCAATTTTTTACTCTTTCTGCTTAACAAAAGATTGTTGATACAATTTTTTTTTTTTTTTTTCATCGACTGCCAGCTAAGCTTGTAGAATCGCACAGAAGATGGTAAAATTTGGCGCTTAGTCAGCAGTTCATGGCATTTCTGAAATTTCTTTAACTTTTGGCGAGTCTCTCGAATTGTTAATGATTACATTTTTATAGACTTTGCTTTTCTCCGTTGCCTTTCGCTGGTTGTTGGTTTAGTTGTTTTATTCGATTTTTAATTTCGAATTGATTGTTTGTGATCGGAGTAAGAGAAAAAAGCGCGTCTTTGCTAATTAACACTTTTTCCCAGCAGCGCTCCAACAAATGTACACACACACACACACAGATACACGCGCGCGGGCGCGCACACAGCCAACTCATATGGGGTTTACAAATATGTACGTAAAAACACGCATACGGGCAATATAAAAACTGCGCACATATACGCGCACACCTTCGCAAAAGGTTCGCATCAACAACTCACATCACTGCAACAGCACCAACACAACGATGTTGAAATTGACAGAGACGAGAAGCGCGCGCCGCGCGTCTTTTACACAAACCACTGTTGGCATTCCGTTGCTAGCGAATTTGCACTGGCGCGCACAATAACAACAACGACAACAATAGCAAGCAAAACGTTGTACACAGATACATTACTATTTAGACGTATGTATGTATGTGCATATAAATTTTGTTATTTTTTCTTCTTGTATTTTTCTTTCGAATGTGTGGCAGCCACGCGCGCCTTCTGCAATGGGCTATCGGCTATCAAATCGATTGCGAATGCTTTATTTTAATTATACATTTTTTCTTTAAATCACAGTACACAGCTTGTTTTTAACACTTTGTGCAAATAATTTTCGCACAGCAGCAAATTTATGTAGGTATTTTATGCACATATTAACACAGGTATTTTATTTTCATTTTATTTCGTTTGTTTTATTTTTTTCGCTGCTGGCAAATAGTAATATTTTTTTTTTGGTATTTTTCACTTGTAGGACGCGCACAGCAGCGGCGCTTAAACGCGTGGCGTATTTTGCACAAAATTATTTAAGTTTTGTACATATATATTTTTATTTAAACAAAAATTCTTCTGCACCTTTTTCTTGGCTAAAACAAAAAATTTCGTCTCGAACTCGACTATTATTTTGTGTGCTGTGATGTGGAGTGTGTTGGAGTGGAGTGGTGGTGCGGTTGGTGCCCAAAAGGTGTACAAACCACAAACGAGCGAATGAGGCAACAAACGAGCGAATGCGCGCTAGTGGACACGAAGCTAGCAAGAAAGCGGAGACAACACCAAAGCAGCGAGCCAACGAACTGCGAAACGACAAAAGCGATTGAGTGAGCGTATGAAAGTACATACATACATATTTCGATGGCTCACACAGCAGAGTCCACCACATGCATACATATGTAAATAGATGCAAGCTATGATGGCGCTGGTAATCTCAGTACGCGCGCGTCTTACTCAGCAATGATCGACAGTACCAAAAAATGCCTTGGCATTACATACCCACCTTAGCTACCTGTGCCGCGCACCGCTACTTACTTACCTGTATACGTAGTATACCCACAACCTACTACAAGTGTACGAATGAGATGAGGAACGGCTGAGCGCTTAAAAAGGGAGAGAGCGCGCGCGCGTGCGCTTGTGTGCGCGCGCGTGCGCTTGTGTGCGCGCACGAAATGAGCATTCAAACACCTGTAGAGGTGTACTATTTCAAACTGGTGCAACTGTGTGGGTGCGTGAGAGCCTTTGCATGCCTTGTGGAAGGTATCTCAAAAGGTAAATTGCTTTTTATGGTGTCATCTCTGTGCCGCACACAAGCGCATGCTGCTCAGGCGCACACATACAAAAGTAGGCGCGCATAAGCACATGAATTCGCTGCTGCTCTTTTCGTTTATTATGTCGCTTTGTATGCTTGCATCAGTGTATTCGCGTGTGTGTGTGTGTAATAAAATCGTCGATTGTTTTTATTGCGCCTTTGTGTATGGAATTATTGCAGTTGAATAGTGGAAGCGGTGCGCGGTGTTGACGGCTAGGCCGCGGTGGTAGTGGCTAGCGCGCGCGCGCAACAGGCGGCCTCCTAGCGCTTACATGTTTGTGTGAATGAGCGTGCCAGCCAAACGAAAGATTCAAGCCACAAACGCGCTGTGGCTTTGGTCCCTCAATCGGTTGATTGCTTCGCTTGTTCGGGTGCTGGGTTATTGAGTTGTGCGCGCACAGTGGATGACGGCTGCATGCAATTTTGTTGACCTAAAGACTTTTAATGCCTATGTACGACTTAAGCCAAAATTCGCTGAAATTGTTTGAGCGAAATCCCAGAAACAGCGAAAATTTTTCAAAAACACAAATGAAAAATCCTTGTGAAACTTCCAGAGGGATTGAAGAAAGGTTTTCAAAATCCGAGGTATAATAATTAATTTTTTATCGCCACGAAAATCTTGAAAAAAATTTTTAACGACTTCGGGAAAAATTTGAAAAGTTTCAAAAAACTAAAAACTCATTTTTTACCAAACGAAAATTTCCTAGCTCAGTAAAAGTCCCTGAATCCCGAAAAATTCTTGAGAAGTCGTAAAACGCCCGAAAGATAAAAAAAAAAAATCCCGCTACAGTCCAAGAAAGTCCCAAAGACTACAAACTAAAATTTTGAGAAAATTTGAAAAGTACATATAGTTTGTATCAACACGAAATTTCTAGATAGTCCCAAAACTGCCAATAAAAATACTGAAAAATCGTAAAAATAACAAAAAGCTCGAAAAGTCGTAAACAACGAAAAATCTCTCTTAATTTTTAAGCACAAAAAGCCTGAGTCCCAAAGCTGCAAAAAAAAAATACTGAAAAATCGTAAAAAAAACAAAAAGTTCGAAAAGTCGTAAAAAACCAAAAATCTCTCATAATTTTTTAAACACAAAAAGCCTGAAGTAACCCCGATAAAAAAGGGTCTCGAGAATATTGAAATTTTTCTTAAACTCATAAAAACGAAATAATTTCTTAACAAAAGAAAAAAAATCGCGTTAGAAATTCCTAGACAGTACCGAAAAAAGTTTCGAAAAATCGTTAAAACCGATAACCCCAGAACCCTTTTTTATAAACACAAAAATTCCGCTGGAATCCAGATAAAATTCCTCAAGAATGCAAAAATTCTTTCGAAAAGCTAAAAAAACGATGACTCAGGAATATTTTTTATCGACACAAAAAATCCCATTAAAATTTCTAGACAGTCCCAAAAACTTCTAGAAACATTTAAAAAATAACTTTTTATAAACACAAAAATATTAAGGAATTCTGATAAAATTCCTTGAGAATCACAAAATTTTTTCGAAAAATCTTAAAAATGCGACAAATTACGAACTATTTTTTATCGATACGTAAAATCATGTTAAAATTTTTAGACAGTTCCAAACCTCAAAAAAAAAATCCGAATAATTGTAAAAATACCGTAATAATCTTTCGAAAAGTCATAAAATGCCGAAAAAATTACGAATCATTTTTTAATAAACACCAAAATCCCGAAGGAGTCAGAAGGACAAATTCCTCAAGAATACCAAAATTTTTTTCAAAAAGTAGTAAAAAAGCAAGAAATTACGAATCACTTTTTTATCAACGCGAAAAAATGCCAAGAGAAACCCAAAGATCTCAAAAAAAAAAACTTGTAAAGTCGCCCAAAAAATAAAACGCAAACTGGATTGGAGTCGAATTTGCAAAATTGAATGAAAAACAGTGCAGAAGAGAATCACAAGTTTTAGGCTTTTTCTCTCAGTCTCGACATTATTTAACGAATTTCGAGTATTTTCTCAAAAGTTTTCAAAATCTTCCGAAATTATAATAAATGTGAACATAAATTTTCTTTTTTTAAGTTCTAATTCCGCCAATATCAAAGCAAAACTAATAAAAGCTTAGTACTTAAAATTCATTAATTTCCTTAGCATATTTTCTCAACCCGGCCCACAGTACTTCTTCAAGATATAATAACAATCCCAGCACTCCCTCAAATTTTAACTTCGCTCAACTAACAAAAGTACCGACATTCAATTTCAAATTCGATTCATATCGAAACGCTTTGGTGATGGCAGCGCAGCAGCGTCAGCAGCGTTAGCACTGCATACATATGTATGCATTCATGCAAGTATATACATACATATGTGCATAGGTGCGTACTGCGCTGGTGTAGATGATAATCCAATATTTACTAACAGTCAGCAACAACATCAAAAAAACAGTGTAAATTTTATTGCAACGCAACGATCCTATGGTGATCACGTACATTTGCACATTAGGCAAAGGACTTTTTCCAATTGAACCACGGCTTTGTCAAAATTTGTTAAGAAAAATTGTTGGTGGAAATTCCGAAAAAACAAATGTGCTGGAAAATATTTAATGTCAACCGACTTACATATGACTACGATCAAAAATTGGTCTCTAAATTTTTTTTTATTATTCTGTCAACTTTGATTATCCATATACATATTATGGGATTTTCTAGTACCACATATTGATGTATGAAAATATCACTTTTTCAATACAAAGTTTTTTTAACTAAATTTTGAAAAAACTTTTATTTTTGGCTTTTCGTCATTCCTCTTCCTCTCTTCATAGATATATTTAGTTTTAGAAAAAAGTCATACACCTAATGTACATACATACATGCATACACGCATAAGTAGTTAGTGTGCGCTAGAAATCTAAATGCGTGTATGTGCGTGTTGTTAGGGATAGTAAGCCTAAGTGTTGTAGTTAAAAAGTCAGTGAAAAAATTGTTGTTGCTTTTAACTAATAATGACTACAGTGGCGATTCAAGAGATACTTGCGTAGGGCGCGAAAGATTTGAATTCACGTCGATCTGACCCCCGTAATCTACTTTCGACAAGGTGACCTCTTTGTTTACCTATGCTTATCCAAATGAGCTTTGTCAATAAACTAAGAAATGCAAACGTTGTAACGAGGTTCTTACAAATTCAAATCTACAAGTCTACAATAAAAACATTGATGGCTTTGATAGGTCTTTAGAATGTATTTTCGAGACTTTGAAGGAGACAGATCTGCGAAAACCTGGGTGCGAATCGCGGCATTCGATATCGAACATTCTTAGTGTGTATGTAGCTCGAATCGAAACTTAAATGTTGAAATCACGACATACGATAACGAGTGAGATTGCTTAATTCAGCTTGTATAGGGGATAAAATAACTATAATCTTATTCCATTTAATTCAAAACGAGTGATCATTCAATAACGAATGACGCGATCCAGCTTTGGTTTAGCTCTGCATGAGAACAAAATGTAATGTCAAGAATGTTCCCACAAAAGAACCAACCGGGAACAAAAGTTTTGAGAGCAAAATGCGAACAAAACTCTCAAAAACGCTCGCAAGAAGAATATAATGAAAACGAAACTTTCGGGAACGTGTCCAATGAGAACCAAATGAGAACGAAAGTATCGAGAACGTTTTCAAGGAGGGTCTAATAGGAACAAAAGTCTGGGGAACGTTCTGCTACAGAACAAAAGTTTCGAAAACTTAGCGTTAAGAATGAGAGCGTCGTCTGCGTATTGGGAAGAAAAATCATTTCAGTGAGAACCACGATCATTTCAACTTCCAGATCGTTTTTCATTGGGATGAACTGTACATTTTTGGAACAATTTTTCATTTTCTGTGTAAGCAAAATTCGTGTCTTAAGTCTTTCGTTGACTTATTTGCATAATTAATTTGAATATGCTTCGCTTCCATTCTTCGCAAATAGTTGTTCCCGATTTTTTCTCTATCAGAAAGTTCCTGAGACTTTAGTTCCCAAATTGTCATTCGTGAGAAAGTTCCTTAAACTTTTGTTCGCGTTAAGTTCTTTACCAAAAGGTTCCGGAAACTTTTGTTCCCATTTTGTTATCTTTGAAATGTTCCTGAAGGTATTGTTCGCGATTTGTTCTCTTTGGGAACGTTCCACACAGTTTTCTTCTTATATAATTTCCATTGAGAACTTTCTCGACACTTTCGTTCTCATGATGGTTTTGGTTTTGAAGCATTCTTGGAAGCAAAACTACGAAAACGACATTTGGTTTCGATAAAACCTTTTCTTGTCGGTCCCTGAAAAGTTGCACAATTTTTGGGTATGCATTTTATAACACACTCACCTTTATATAATAAAGTGCAAGTTTGAAGTGGCTACAAAACTACGATTGATCTTTGGTGTTTCGTACTGTTTTCCATTAAAAAAGTTCGCATTTTCTTCCTAATAAAACCAATACCTTGGTCAATCTTTGTTGTTTTTTTTTTATTCCGCATCAAGCATGTACATTAGTGTACGCCTTATTTTTATGGA